TACCGTAGGTATCTGGGATGAGTGAATTTTCCCCTTAGAGGGAGTGTGAGCCGTATGGCTAAATCTGGATAATAATAAATATACACATAAACTATAATAGCCATTATGTTTGTTTATGTAGGTACTCTCTTACTTGAAACTACTTTTAAACAATCATAGTTACTTGTTTACGAAAATTTAAATTTTTAAATGCATTCATTTTTTTTGGAATCCTGAGAAAACTAACAAATATTTTTGAAAAATTTAAATGCAAAATGAAAGATTACATTATTACCGAGATCCGAAAGTCCCTTAGAATAAACAAAAAGTTTTTTGAATGAGATATTTGAAATTAAAAATCACACTATTTTTTTTTTTTTCACCCCTATAACTTATTAAAATAAACATTATAGAAGTTGTCAGGTACTTTCGGCCCTCGGTAATAATGTATTGTTTCATGCTGCGTTTAAATTTTTCAAAAATATTTATTAGTTTTCTCAGGTTTCGAAAAACATGAATGCATTTAAAAAATATTGCCGGGAAATTTTGTGCCTACGTTCTTAACGATAAAACTACCACGACCCACCTCTACTACTCGTTACTCGTGGTTTTGACCAGACACGTTGCCAAATAATTATTGTGTATGAATATTTTTTTAATGTGGTGTTATTGTTTGCAGTTGATTATTTCATATTGGGAATAAGGCACAATGTGACTTTAAAATAAGCTTATTTTGATGTTTAGATTTTTAATTCAGAAATCGTACTTAAAATACGAAACATTAATAAATTTTATTTATATAAAACGATTACCGTGGAAATCCAAATGTTATATTACACTTATTGTAAAGTAAACTTGTGGCATATTCCCAATAGAAAAACAGTAAGCTGCCATTTAAATCAATTTCGCCCAAATTTGATTATCTTAGAACATTGTTCAAATGCAAAAAAGACAAAACGTCAAATAAACCAATAAGTTTGGCAACATTGAATTTCCCCTTTTTTATTATTTCCAGGCTTGCATGTTCGGCGATATAAAGGGCGGACCTAATATACCTCTCTCTTTCTAAACAGCTGTTTCTCACTCCATCTCACGTAAGGTCCATACCAACCATAAACTTTTTCCTACACTGTATATATATATATATATATATATATATATATATATATATATATATATATATATATATATATATATATATATATATATGATGATTTTAATGATATCTAATGGCATTTGTTTATTGTATAAAAGGTATACTATGTTCTTCAGTGTTATTGTGCCAAATGGTAAGTTCAGTTAACCATGAAATGTTCTGTTAAAATTCCATGTTAAGGAATTTTTTTCCTTTAATTACTATCTTCCAAGGGATCCTTTACAGCATTTAGAAAATCTGATCTTTTTTAAATTTATCAAATTTTTAAGTTGAAAGATATGAACAATTTTCATACTTTAAATCTTCTTTAAATGAAAAAGTGAGTCAGTACTCTGGAGCTAAAAACTACTAATCTTATTATAATTACCTAGTTATTTGTTTATGTCATAGAGAAATATATTGGTTGAAATTGATCACTAACACAACTTTGCCTTTAAATAAAAATATGTATTGTCATAAGCATTATCCTTGACTAATAATTAATTAATAAAAGACTTAAGTTTGTGCTCTCATTTAAATAAGCACTTCAGTTTAAAATAAAATAAAAAAGTATAAAATACTTAAAAAAAATTTTTATGAAATGAAATGAAAATATTCCAGATGGATGTGCATACCTACGAACGCATTAATAAAAATGAAAAGTTACATATTGGTTGGAAGAGCTATTTTTTTAGAGAAAGCGTAAATGTTAAACAGTGTTACAATTGTTGGAGGTTTGGACACCAGCGCATTGCTGACACGTGGGAGACGCCCACGTGTCAGCAATGCGCTGGTGAGCATCACGTAAAAGACTGTAAATCACGTATAGTTTGTTGTGTAAACTGCAAATATGCAGAAGAAGTTTTAAAAATTTCCAATATTGATTTGAAACATAAAGCATATGATAGGAATTGTGAAGCCTATAAGAAAGTAGTAGAGCGATTACAAGAAAAAATAAGGTATCCTGAATTATCACATGGTAATTGTAAAATATAGCAATCAAGTCCAACCATTCTGTACCTAAACATTCAAGGATTTAGCACACATAAAACACAGTTATCATGGATTGCAAGTCAGAAAAAGCCAATTATTATGTGTTTATCTGAGACCCATGTTACCTCAGATTTTGCATCAAATGAAATAGATATTGATGGCTACAACTCAGTTGTTGGTTTTTCTTCAAGTAGACATACAGGAGGAACATCAATTTATATACAAAAAAGATATCGTTATAAATTATTAAAGAAGAAAAAAACAAGAATATATGGTTAACAGGAATACAAATAAATATAGAAAACCAGAAATATTACATCTATTGTCTGTACCATTCACCTAGTGCAAGTCATGCGGAATTTTTGGAGGAGTTGGATGCGTTTTTAGATAGCATTGAGACTGATGCTATCTTTGTGATATTGGGAGACTTTAATATAGATTTGGCAAGTATAAACTTTTACTCTATGAAATTAAATGATATTATTATTAAAAATGGTACCTATCAGCTAATAAAAGAATACACAAGGATTACAAAATCGACATCTACTAGGATTGACCTAGTACTTACAAATCAAAAAGACATTAGTTGCAAGGTGCTCCCAACTCCAAAGATTACAGATCATTCGATAATTGTAGCTGATCTGGGAAGAAACAATGAGACGACACTCACAAAAACCTATAGAAAGTACAATATAATGGATGTGACAGGATTTCAAATCAAACTTATGGATATGCAGTGGCCGTCAAGTTCCTCTATAGATGTAAGTAACAATGCTGATATTCTAATAACTAATGTATTGTCTGCACTCGATCAGTTTGCTCCAGAAAAGTCTATTAATACGAAGGATGTTTGGGGAAATAAATTATGGTGGAATGAAGACATTGCGAATGAAATTAAAAAAAGAGATCAATATTACAAAAAGGCTATATTTACTAAAACTGATACTGACTGGGATGATTTCAAACAACAAAGAAATAGAGTCGTAGCATTAATCAGAATTACCAAACAAAATTATTATCAGGAAAAAATAGATGATTGTAAGAACGACCCAACAAGAATGTGGAAAACATTAAAGGAGCTTGTATATGGCAAAAAATACCATGAAGCTAAAAGTGAAATAATATTTGATGGTGGGGGGTTACTGGTAAAGAGATAAGTGAAAGATTTAATATATTTTTTCTAGACAGTGTAAAAGACATAGCAGATAGCATTATTTCAAACAAAACCCACCAAGAAATTTGTAGTTCAATAAATGTCGACTGCAAAATGGAAAAATTCAAAATGTTAGAAATGAAAGATTTAAAAAAACAAATGAAACAAATGAAAAACAAAGAAAGTAATGTTGATGGTATTACAGTTCAAATTTTAAAGCGTTCCTTTGAAGTAATAGGCGACAAAATTTTGCATATTATAAATGGTAGTCTAGAAAGTGGCGTATTCCCAAGTAAATGGAAGAGAAGTCTGGTTGTACCAATTGAGAAGGTTCATGGAACTGTTAAGTGTGAGGAATTTCGACCCATAAATATGGTACCACCATACGAAAAACTGCTGGAATTATGTGTAAATGATCAAATAATGGAGTACTTGGAAAGCAATAATGTGTTAACTAAATTCCAAGCAGGGTTTAGGAGAGGAAATTCCTGTGAGAGTGCAATGCAGACGGTTTTGTTTGACTGGAAGGGTGCGCTGGAGTGCGGGAAAATGATTGGTGTGGTTTTCTTAGACTTTAAACATGCATTTGAAACCATAAACAGACAACTGCTATTGAGAAAGATGGAAAGGTATGGCTTTGGTAAAAAAAATTATAAAGTGGTTTCAAGAATATTTGACTGATAGAACACAAGTGACAAAATATGGTACCATTTCATCGGCTCAGAAGTCTCTGTATGGTGTGCCACAGGGAACTGTGTTAGGTCCTACTCTTTTCATACTGTATATAAATGATATTGTTGATGTTGTTAAAAAGTGTAAGGTACAGTTGTTTGCCGATGATACTGTGATATATGCAATAGGGGATAAGGTAGATGAAATAATCGATATAATAAATGAAGAGATATGTAATATATTAAAATGGCTCGATAATAATTCCTTAAGTCTTAATGTAACTAAAACAAAAATGATGCTTATAAAGAATAAAAAATTTAAATTAAATAACATAATAAAAGATGTAAAAATTAATAATATTGCTTTGGAGAGAGTAGTTCAGTATAAGTATTTAGGATGTATTATAGATGAAAATTTAAGTTTTGTTGAACATTTTCTCTATGCCTGTGCATTTGTGTAATAATTGTACCTTTGTTCAAGATGTACATGAACACAACACACGTTCTAGAAATAACTTTTATCTGAATAGGGTCAACACTAATTTTGGTCAGAACAATCTTTTTTATAGGGGATTAAAGCAATACAATGAATTACCGGAAAACATTAAGGCTTCTGGAAACTTAGCTTAATTTAAAAATTTATGTAAGATATATGTTAAGCAAAGCATTGTGATTTAATTTTAAGGGTATAAATTGATGTATCTATATGTATATTTTTCTAGCCATGTGCTATTAATAAAGATTATTATTATTATTATTAAAATAACCATAAATTGTACATTGTTTTTGGCATTTATATGCTGGGGTATGGAATTCTATCTCTCCTGAAATGTTTCATCTGCAACTGTAGTTTACCTTATCTAGTCACCAACATTAGTAATCTTCTTTATCTTCATGCTCACATGAGTAAGACACAACAGGTTACAACCTTTGGGCATCACCTTTGTCTACTACAGTTGAAGATGAAGCAACATAAAGAAAGCATACCAGACCACAGGCTATAACCCCCAAAACAGGCGCGTACTTGATATGAAAGAATGGAATACCAACAAAGTTTTATATTGTTTACCTTTTATTTGGGCCATCAAGAAGTCCATACAAAGAGGATCCGCCAGTTCTAGACCCGGTGGGATCACCAGATTGAGCTATAAATCCACGACTTATTGTATGGAATAAATTATAATTATAATACTTTAACTTGCATAACTTCAGAAAATTCAAGCAAGCTCTGGGTCTATCATTCAGGTACAGATCAACTGTAATATCTCCCAAAGTTGTTTCAATTACAACGGACATCTTGTTAATTTTCTGATTATTTAATTACAATATTACAAACATATTACAAATAAATAAAAGACGATTTTCACATTTGGTCCCAGTGAAGATAGCCTCAAATTAGCTGTCAATTAAGTTTCACAGAACCACAGAATAATAAACAATCAGAAGGGCCACTCTCAGATGCCGCCTTTGAAGTTTTTCAGCACGCGCGCCATGTTTTAGGAGGACACAGACATATGATTTGTGTGGTTATGTAATTGTTTATATTTATGTTTAATTATATTATATTTATGTTATTATATTTAACAATGTTAATATAATTGTATAGTATGTCTATGATTGCCGTAAGTCAAATAAACCTGGTTAATTTTTCCATGCACACCACATAAACAACACTAATTTCTTTAAAATCCTCCTAAAACATGGCGGAACGTCTGCGCGGAGGAGATGCGCGTACTTAATTTTCCGTGGAGAGTGGATATTCTGTTTGTTTATTATTCTGTGACAGAACGAAATATTGCGTTGGCAGTGTTGCCATGTTCTTATAATGTATATATGCTTCAAATACAAAGAGATAAAGCTTTTAAAAGGTACATTTTTATCATATTATTTTATGGATTCTGCAATTTTATACCTTATATAAAATATTAATGAAGTAATATTTGTTTCGTTTGATATTAGTTGTAAAGAACCATCGAGCAATAAGACAAAAGAGGGAATGTAAAGGTAGTGGGGGCAAAAATATTGTTAGTCAGACAGGAAGTGTTATCTAGAGAGGCCAAATTAAACAAGGAAAGAGAGTCTTTCCTTGTTTAAGAAATCAAATTTAGTTGGGTCACAGAATAATAAACAAACAGAATACCCACTCTCCACGGAAAATTAAGTACGCGCATCTCCTCCGCGCAGACGTTCCGCCATGTTTTAGGAGGATTTTAAAGAAATTAGTGTTGTTTATGTGGTGTGCATGGAAAAATTAACCAGGTTTATTTGACTTACGGCAGTCATAGACATACTATATAATTATATTAACATTGTTAAATATAATAACATAAATATAAACAATTACATAACCACACAAATCATATGTCTGTGTCCTCCTAAAACATGGCGCGCGTGCTGAAAAACTTCAAAGGCGGCATCTGAGAGTGGCCCTTCTGATTGTTTATTATTCTGTGGTTGGGTTGTGTTAATTTGTCCCCAATGACGTATAATATATAAACTCGGTGAACGCTTTAAAAAGTGTCCACAACAATACCTTTGTTACATGATACTAAAATGTACTAAAACAAACAAGATAAATCAACGTGCATATTACTATGACGTAATCCGGAGACAAATTTATTGACACCAAGTTAATTGCTATGTTCATGTTTATTATGTTGCTGTGTTAATGGAGTTTTCTATCCTGTAAATTTTAAAATGTAGTGAATGATTTTTTTATTTACTTATTGATGTAGTAAAGTCTTTGTATATTATATTGTTATATAAATCTTATGGTGAAAACATTCAGTTTACTGTGGTAATATCACCTAATTTGTTTGTCGTACGCAACTTCCTCTCGGCTACCTGTAGCTACTTTATAAAAAAGACTAATAATTATTTGTTTGCCATAATTTATTGTGCAGTGGTGGGTTGTTTAAACAATAATAATAAAAAAAGTAAAACTTTTTCGACGTGTCGTTTTTTTTGGGTTTCCTATAAAACAAATGCGTAAACTATGGGTCTCCAAATGTATTCAGTGAGACAAATTTAATGTAGAAACCGCTAGAATATATGGTATTTGTAGGAAGAGGATAAGATTCGTATTTTAGGATTAAGCAGACTTATTACAGTTTTATTTGAAATGTCTTTAATTTTCCTACACTGAAAATAACAAGGTACATTTGCTGTGATTGATCCATAGGTGTATATTAAAATTTGGCAGATTTCATGTTTATTAAAATGAAACTTGGGTATTAGTACTACATATTTTAGGAATAAGCTGACTGTATGATATCCTAGTGCTGTTTTTTTTTTCATTAAATATGTAGGTAATATTGTTTTAATTTTTTTGTAGGCATATGCGATCTCAAGTTTAATAAACATTATGTAAAGTCTTTCCTTTTAACTTTAAATTTTTCTATTAGCTGTTTTATAATAAAAATTGCTATTGTCAACTTGCCTTATATATATTCAAATTGACTTTTATCTACTTTTATTTCTAGAAAATTGAACTAATTTGTGTTAGATTTCACCATGAGGTGAAAAATTTTCTGAACAAAATTAACCAAATTTTTACTGGAAATAACTATTGCAAATCAAATAAAGCACTAAATAGCTATTTTTAAAATCTATTCTTTGAGGGAGGGCCTTATTGGTGCAACGGGGAAGGTAAAACCCCTCTAAACCCCCCCTAGGACCCAGTACATCCCTATTTCAAAATACAACTCTAATATAAAAGTCTACAAATAACATAATTACTTAACATGATTTAAAATTCAGACTTAACTTAAGCATGAATACATATATTTTATATATGAATATATTATATGAAATTTTACTATCACTAATCAAGTAAACATAATGTTAAATTAACTTTCTTGTAAATAAGCCTATAAAGCTATAATAAAAATTCAATACAGATACAAAAACAAAAAATACATGTGAGCTACAAGAATTGTTCAAATTTAATTTTTAATCAGTTTCTGTTTTTATTGGAAGGAAAATATTGCTGCTTTTCCATTTTTCGTTTCTTTTTAAGATCCTGTTAATCCTGGAAGACATTGGATAGTGTTTTCCTGGATCACATTTCTCTGTTTCAGCTTCTTTCTGATAAATTCATTAATTTCCTCCTCATGACTTGATTTGATAATATTTTGACATATACTAAATCGTCAATTGTGTCCAATAATTTTTCAATTCTCACTGCAGCATTTCTCCTTAGATGGTTGGTTTTTAATAAGTTGTTAAATGATTCAATCCCCATATTGGTATTGATTCCTGAATTTGTTCTGTAACAATGGGCCCACATTTTGATCCTCTCTTCATTCTGAAAGTAATACCTACAAAAAAATATACTGAAGGGTGACTTAAAATGTATGATTTCATATATTTATTTACCCTGCCAGTTGATTAAAAAATCAAGCTCATTTGCTTCTTGAAATTTTCGTAAATATATATTGCATAAGTCTATAAATTGAGCTTCATTAGTTTCGGTAATAATTCTCTTCATTTCATTTTTCATTTCTTTTTTCAAATTTGGATCTAGTATTTTCTTCTTCCCTTGAATGTTCCAACTTCTTACAACATGCCAGGTGAATAACAGCCTCCTTGGTTGATTGCCTATTATCTTCATCATGCATTATAATATTTAGGATCATCATCACTTATGAAATGGTCTGCCTGAATTTCGGTCTGCATCTTATTCTTGAGGGCACCTAAAGGTTTTTGAAAATTATTCTTACAGTCATAAATTGTCACTAGGTACTCATATAATACATACCTAAAAAAACTTCTTGAACTTGTTGGTCCAATCTGTTTGATAATAAGAATGCAACTGCATTTTTGTCATCCTTAATGAGAACTATTGTTAAGTCCATCCCTATCTTATTAGTGCCATGTGTTCCATCCATACAAATTATGCTAGAGAATTTTTGTAATTTATCTTCCATTACAGAATTCATAGATCCTAAGACAAAATCTTCTTTTTTGAGTACTTCATGTTGTTCTCCTAATAAAAATAAACCACCAAAATTATAGTTTACTTAAAATTTATAGTTTAGAGATAATTCGAGATAAATGTTAAGAGACTGAATTTTTTTTGAATATTTTGATAATCATTACTTCTATTTTTTAAGCTTACTCTGTCAATTATAGTGGTAATAAGTAATAAGTAGATAATTGAAAACTCTCATAATTGAGTTACCTAGTTATAGTACTGAGCCGATGATATGATAGATCTGAGGACAAATGTAGATTTTGAACCTTCTGAAGACAAAACAAAATAATCTTCAACAACAGATTATAAAATAAAGCAAGTCATAAATGAGAAAAAGTAATCTTGTAAAAAAGCCATAAAATATGCACTCAAAAAGTATTAGGCATGGAGGAAAAACAAAGAAGTGAATGGTTTGAAGAAAACTAACTGAAAGAAAAAACACAGCATATAAAGCAGCAGTGACACAGGACCAGGTAAGTAACAGCAGAAGACAAACAGCTATGAAAGGAAGAGAAACAAGTGCACAAAAAAAGGAGGGAAGTATAGATAGACAACAATTTCAAGAATTACAAAATCTAAGTAAAAGAGCAGTGGCAAAAAAGTCCTACATAAAAATAAGCAAATGAAAAACAGAATTTAAACTTAGAACCATGATGTACTGAGATTACCAGCATTACATTGACAAAACAACACGAAATAAAAAGATGGATAGAACATTATAGGAAAAAATTGAAGAAAGCAGAGATGTGAACCATATAAATTACATTTAACTAATTAGATAAAAATAACAGAAAAAATCTCACAACAATGGCTAAGATTTGAATAGCAATAAATAAACTAAAACATAATAAAGCAGCATCATCAGAATAAATATCATTTGATGATACTGAAAGCAAACCACATATTATTGAAAAACTAACAATTTCCCGATAAATGGAATACTGTATTATTACAAAAAGAAGAAACTAGTTGGAATACAGAAATTACCACAGAATCATGCTTCTGAACACAGCATGCAAGATACTGTCTAACATAATTTATCAGATCATATGCAGAAAAAGTTTTGGGCAAGTACAAATGTGATTTCTGACAGCAAAAATCAATAATAGATCAGATATTTTTTTCTACAGTAAATTCTCAAAACAATTAAATGCAATATCAACAAACACAATCTTATCATAGATGTTAAAAGTGAATATGATAACTTAAATGGAGGGTATCTAATCCAAGCAATTACCCAAGGAAAAAATCTTAAACCACACATATAAATGAGTAAAAAAAAAATTGTATACCTGGATCTGTATATCATAACATTCATACAAATAGGACAGCTTCAGTAGAAGGGACATGTGGAATGGATGGAAAATGAAATACCTTCAAAAATAAATGTCAGCTGGACATAAAACAAGAGGAAGAC